CATCGTTATAATAGTTTGTTGATAAAGATGGTGCTCTTGTTATTGTTGATGAATGATTATTATCATGTACAGTGTTTTTAGATCCTATAGTATCATCAGTAGTATCAATACCCAATATCTTCCATAATGATGCGGTATAATCACTTAGTTCATATCCTTCTATAACATACCTGTAAAGCATTATTATTACCATTACTAATATGATAGTAATACCTACCATGATACGAGACATAGTGATATGATGATATGATGATGGAGTGGTAAGGATAATATGTTCAGCATGAGGGTATTCACCCAACTATAGAAGAAGGATAATATTATCACCATTTTAGTTCATGACTTGGGCCCGAAATCATACTTAAATGTGTATCATGGTAACCTGGGGGGTTGGCGTAAGGTGGCATGAGGCTCCTCACCGTAAGGCTCCTCACCGTAAGGCTCCTTACCCTACAAGGTGCAAGGAGGGCCTCCTCATGTAAGGCGATTTCATAGGAGGCATTTTTGGGCCCCTCCTTGCGATCCTTACGTAAGGTGCCGTAAGACTGCTCGGGGGGTACTGCACCTTATCGCACCCTCCTTACCATTTATGGGAGCTTCGCTCCGCTTATTCCCGACAGCCCGCGCGTCTCACCCGCGGATGATCGATCCCCAAACCATGCATCTTTACCACATTCGACTTGGCGTTTCAGCGGTCATTTATGGTCATGACCGATTGCCCTCCAATGAGTTGATGGCAAATAAGTTTTCGAGTTTGTTCTATCTAATGGCAATAACCATATCCTTGGCTTTATTGAAACACTGCGTCGACTCTTTCATGCGCATCGGTGTTTAGGTGCTCCTCGTGCTCCTTATTGGGGTTTACGAGGTGTACCTTAAATTTAGGAGCATAATGTGCAACTGTAGTGAAAGCACCCCGCGTAAGGTGTAAGGCACCTCGCTCGTAAATCCAAGGTGCACCTTAAGGAGCGTTTCTTGTGAAGTAGGCCCCTGTCTACATTCCCAAAATGCCCCAGAGTTGCTATACTCTTGAGAGATGGGTTGTTGGCTCATACTGTTAAACTGCATCATCGAACCTGTAATCCGGAATTGATGTCCATGAAAAGCATTTCCCTATCCACCACTACCACCACCATCAATGCTAAACAGATGTCTCTATCCCATTATTATCAGGAGCCTCGTTATCAGTATTTATATCTATCATCATGACAGAATTTAAGAAGGCTGAAGATCTCTTTGATAGACTCCTACAGGCCCATGAGACGTTGGTTATTAATCATTTACCCAAAGCCAACAGCAGCAGCAGAGATGAGTAATAATAATACTCATATGTTGTTGGTAGTAGTAGTAGTAATGATGATACGACTCAATAGATTACCACCATCGAAAGAGGATTTACAACAATATAACAACTTCGAGAACTTAATAAACCAGTGTGGTGATTATATATTAAAGTTTAAGAAACGCTTATTGGATGCCAGTAAGAATCCTGATGTAGCAGTGTATGGGCCTAAGATGAAGACTAAGGTAATGGTAGTAGTAATAATATATTATAGTAGTAGCTATTATAATACTAGGTGGAGGGGTTAATAGAGAGATATGAGCAAGTATATGAGCAGTACCAAGATATCATACAACCATTATTTGAGCATGCTGTATTAGAAGAAAAGGACAGATTAAGAAGGGAAGAGGAGGTATGATAAAGACGTATATCAATATGTAGAGTAATGCTATTATTATCAAGAGACGCCAAAAGGATAAGAAGGACGCTATAGAAAAGGATGTAGAACAGAAGGCTCAATGGGCTGCTCACTTTGATAAGGTAATACTACTACTATATAATTATTATTACTATCACCATGTTACTCATTATTGTTATTATCAGACAAGAAAAGAGATGGAGAGAGCACAGCAAGAGAGGGAAGCAGCGGATAAGGTATTATTATCATTATAATAGAGTATATTTCATGGTTCATCATCATCATTATAGGAGAGGGCTGATGCACAAGATGCTGAGTTAATAGCTAAACGTAGGGAGGAAGAGATTAGAATACTCTCAATGGATGAGGATACTAAAAGTAATAATAATCGATCACAATAGGGGATAGAAGGAGCTAGTGATATCTACAATTCTTCTTATTCTTTTTAGTATGTACTTCTATTAGAGAAATGTTAGAAGATAATACAAGCATGACTATTGCAGAGTTACGTATGCATTTGGGTAAGTTAAAAGAGTATATATCAGCAATAGTATCAAGACCTGAAGATTCACAATTACGTACTATTAGATTGGCTAATAGATCATTTAATGATAATATTGGATCATTACCAGGGGCAATATTATTCTTGAGAGGAGTAGGCTTTCAACCAACTATTGATAATAATAATACTAGTGATATTATACGCTTTATTAAATTATCGGAACCAGATGCAGTTAAAGATTGGAAATATTGGGGAGAATGGCAGAAGAGGTTAGAGAGATATGTAGACTTCTTATCATCCTTTGAGAAGGAGATGCCTACTAGTTTTGATAGCCAAAGATTATTTATCGATCAAGCTAATATAAATACTAATGAAATCATCAAACTATGGCATACTACTGGTATTACTACTGGTATTACTACTCATATTACCACACAATGTTGATAATGTGCTATCAGTGTGACGAGGATTCATCATCATCATCATCAATAAGATTGAGTATTTCATCACTGTTTCGTATTCTACAAGTGCTCTTTAGTAATATTATTCAATAACGATACATGAGGTTAGAGGATCCAGTAGTTGTTCCTAATCTATTATCATCATGTTACCATCATGTTGTTACCCTTTCATATCCCGTCTAACGAAATCCGCAGCAGCAGCAGCAGCACCAGGTGGTGGTGGTATTGATCCATTCCGATCGCCTTATCTTAATTCCATATTACTACTACCCATCAATAATAAGCCCTCCTCTCTAATACTGCTGCCAACAACAACAATCATATCATCAAGTATCAATACTTACCATCAATGGTCATATATTATTAGGATCATCAGGCACTGTATACTTATCATGCTGGAAATCAAGCCAAACAGGGATAGGAAGAATAGTTGATGATGATAATAAGGATGATGCGAACACCTTCACTTATTCGACGATAATTTCCAATAGTGGTACTATCATCGTTATCAATATTCTAATCGTATAATTATGTTTAGATAAGTTCTCCTTCTACAGTACTACACTACTATTACAATCACTCATCACCGACGCATCAAAGAGTATCTTGTCATCATATAATGATGATGATGATGATGCATCAACAATAGCATCATCATCATCAGAATATGATGATAATGATAGTATATTAGCAGAGAGCAGCTATCATAGTAGACCACAGCCAGACCCAATTAAACGATGGTTATGCATTGTATCAAGTATGGTTACTTTAGCAGGATTATGGACATCAGCAATAGCTTTCCCTGCTCTCGTGTTGTAATAATCTAATACTACTACTACTATCAACACACACAACAACACCAAGAGCATGATAATAATAATCATCATCGTGGTCGTCGTCATCTTTGTAGTTACACTTGTATTAAGAGTTATTGGAATACTTTGGGCATACTACTCACATTATGGGCTACGACTATGCTTATTCAATTTCCTCAATGTAATATTAGTTATAGGGAGAAAGCGGTGGCGATATTTAATGCATGAACAGCAGCAACACTGTTGCTGCAACAGAGTCTCTTCATTGTAGGTGATGCTATTAGAGACTATCTATTACGTGGTTGTGAATATTGGTTTAATGGTGTTGATGTTATTTTCCAAGATAAGCCAATGAAAGATCATACCATATTCTGTTATCATCCTCATGGTGCTCTTGCCATTGGCCTTACTTCAAGTATACGTTTCTTATTCCATCAATTAGATCATCATTCTCATAACTATCCTGTTATAGTTGCATCCCCCTTTCTACGGTAATAATAATAACCCTTATTACTATCATCATAATCATGATCTTTTTGAGGTGGTTTTGCCCAACTTGGAAGATTCTATTTGATTTATGCGGTATACAATTTGGTGGTGCAGGACGAAAGGAATTCAAACAACTCTTAGAATCAGGCAAGAGCTGTGTAGGTGTAGATGAAGATTATGATGATTTGTTATTAACCGCAATTGATTATTGGTTTAGGTACTCATAACTGGAGGCTTCCATGAAGCTACTATTACATGTCCTGGTACTGATAGGATATACCTTAATAATAGCAGGTAATAATAATGAAGAGTAGTAGTTATGGAAATGGCTAATAATAATAATTATTATTATGATCAGAAAAGGATTCGTTCGTTATGCCCTCCGTGAGGGATATTCCCTTACCCCTGTTTATGGTTTTGGTGAGACTGATACATTCTCTAATGTAATTATTGTATGTTGTCGTAATTATAATTAAAGTGTTGTCATTAAGGTACAAGGGATGTGGGCTTTCCGTTTCTGGCTTAATAGTGGTACTTTCCAACTTCCAGCGGTAGTGCTACTATGATCGAGATGATATTAGTGATGATGTAAGAGGGAATACTTTAGGTATGGGGATTAGGATATTGGTTATGTCCAATACTTCCTAAAAGGGAGAGGTTGAAGATAGTCTATGGCCGACCACTTCATTTACCATGTATACCCAATCCAAGTCGGGAAGAAGTGGATAAGTAAGCTATGATAAGTCTTGAGGTAGTTCTAAAAATATTAATCAGATATCATGCCATGTATATTGAGAGAGTTCGTCATCTCTATGATAAGTACAAACCGTATGATCGTCATCTTGAGATATGGTGATGTAACTTTCCGGTGCTCCGTTATCCCCTCGGTTGCGTTGTAGATAGTAATGAATATGCTCAGACATGTAAGCAAACAACAGCTGTGACGTACATCTGTGTATCGTTTCCATCTACCTATGTTTTGCTATAGTGGAAATGTCTAAATGGGCTCAGTTATAAAATAGCAAAGGAGCAAACTGAGGATATGAAGTGTTACGCTTGGTAAGTACTTGACAGATAAGCAAAGCTACAGAGAGGAAACTAGTGAAGTGGGAGCCACAGGTGTAACCTGTGAACGTAGTGTAAGCGATCCAATACCCATAATGGGTGTCCCATTACTGTCCTGTGCAGCACGCAACTCAAGCTAGAATCTCCACTACTATAGTGATAAGTTTAGTCGACCTGAGCTGTTATTCTCTGAGGTTTTGGGTGTGTCGTCATGTTCCGATACGTCAAGTACATTGCGCGCTCAAGATACAATCTACATACTCGATTCGAGTGACTCGAATCACCACTGATGGTGTGTAGTGAAGCGTCGTAGTAAGACGTAAGCAGTTCGTAATCAGTACTCCTAATCTACACTCCTTACTCTCAAGTTCCATATCAAGTTGAGGTACGCTTACCCGATGATGAGTCTGAAAGGAATCTAACGAAGGAGCACAGCCTCCTAAAGAATTGGATGTTGCGTTGATAGACCGAAAGGTTGAAGATATCTTAGCATGCTATGTTTTTCAGAAATCTATGTTTGTGAGATGGCTTCGCGGAGGCCACCAATTCGGCAAGTAGCGGAATCAGATTCTTGACAAGAATTACTCGTTTCAAGATATCGGTTCCTGATTTCATGCAACTGTGCAATAACGGTACAGTGTAAATCTTCATCATCTGTAGCCTGAAATTGATGTCCTCCCCGTGAATATGATTTCCTTGTTCACAAAACTGGTCGCCATAGATAGTTCCTGACTGCAAACTCGTGATTACATGTGGCTCCATATTGCAGCATGCATTAGAGTGCATATAAGGCGCAATACTGTAATCGAACGCAAAATGCTACCTCATAACTGTGTTTGCTCGATTGTCTATTACTAGTACGAATAATGCAAAATGACAAATTCGCTAATAACGCTAACAGGAACGAAGTTTGAATGAATGAGCAAGACGCTAGTATGCATTTCTAGAGTAAGATACAAGAGAGCAAATAGCCAAAACATAAAAATACCGCAGCGTTGTCACATAGCGGCAAGTGCTAACTTGTATATTTCATGCAGAAACATCACTCAAGAGCAAACCCTGAAAGATGCCAGACTAGATAATTACAAAACAAAACATACGAAACAGCAAATGAGCACAAGCCGACAGAATAACGAAACCGTGCGAGAGAAGCACATCTGGGCAAAAGTGCCGGTGTGTAAAATATTCCGGAGAAGAAACAATGCAGCAAAAAAGTAGCAAAAAAGTGCGACTTGCTGAAAGATAGTTCGGTGTTTGCTACTTCCAACATTTGGTTGCTGAAATGTATACTAGTATTTGCTGAGGTCTAAATGTGGTTGCCACTTCATAACCTAAGAAGCAGCATATACACGAGAGAAAATAAGTGAGACTGTCGGAAATTATAAAATGCTAGAGGCTATGAACACGCATACCAGATCCTGTATCCCCCCCACTGGAGAGGGATTCTTTCTTATGTTGGTATCATTAGGAGGATCATCTTGCTAGAAACTCATTGACTACTCTCGTTAACATATATTACTCTCCCTGAAGAAGTATCAATGGTAAAATAAGCTCCTCATGATATCACAGTGTAGTAGTGTAAGCTCTTGATCAGCAGTCTGATGAGATAGATCAGAGTTTTTTCCAAGTGACAAGGTTGGGTGCGTATTGCCAAGATTGGATGATGAGATAGTGTTAATCTTGAAGCCAATGGATGAGGGGTATGTCAGAGATGAATGCATATTATCAATCTTGCACGCGATATTTCCCACTTGTATCAAATATGAATAAATATTGATGTGACACTGACATGGTTACCTGCACATCTGCACTTCATGATAAGCTCATCCAAAGATCTATACGATATACACCTCATTAAGTTGATTGAGACCTAACTGGTGAGGGAATACTGCAACATAGGATAATGTATTAGCACAGGTATTCAGAGGCGTGGAGACGACCACACCCACGACCACACCCACGACGACGACGACGTTCATGATGTTGGTGATGAAGGTTGGCTGGGTGTGTGAAATTAACACAAGAGTGTATGAATGTAAGGATAGAAGAGAATTTTAGGAATGGTTAAGATTATGATAGTACATAATTATTACTCAATAGTAGTAGTAGTAGTAGTAGTAGTACAACAATGACGATAATAATAATAATACATACAACAACAACAGAGAGCAATGCATCATTTACGACTACTTATACAATAACACGGAGGACAAGGATGATATGAATGGTAGTAGAAGGAGCATTTGATAGGAGGATTCGAGCTCCATCATTGGAGTATAATAATAACAGAGCTTTAAAGAGAGCTGTGCTCCAAGCCGCCTGTTCCATTACGGCCGCCTCTACCTGTTCGTAATGTCGAGGAGGATGACGACGACGAGGGGGAAAAGTAGGCGGCGGTGGCGGCGGAGAATGCCTGTTGTTGTTGTATTGTTGTTGATGGAGGGATTGGTGCCGACTTAAATGATGAAGAGTTCCGACTTGGGAGATTGCCTGGTGCACCTGATATTAGTAGTAGTAATAACATACGATGACCCTGATTAACCCTCGTAGATATGATCTCCTTACTCTTCCTCACAGGCTTCTTATCGACATGCTTATTCTTCCTGTTGTTATTGTTACTGTTGGCCTCCTCCCGATAATCAATAGAAGAGGTATTAAGATAGGGCTCAGTGGCGGAACTCGCTAAACAAGAAGAAAAAGATTATATGCATCATGATGATGATGATGATGATGATGTCGCACTTACTCAGGGTGATAGTCGAACCTCTTCCTCTTCCTCCTCTTCTTCTTTTTGTTGTTGTTGTTGTTGTACCCCCTATCGGAGGTATTATTATACTAACATCATTATTACTAGCAGATGATGATTTCTCTGATACACGGCTCGCTAATGATAATTTACGGAGCTCTTCATCTTGCAATTTTCGATATAGAATCTTCACTCGATTTAAAACCTTCACAGTGCGAGCAGCAATTCCTGAGATACCCCCTCTAGGTACGGTGAGCTTGGATACCTAGAATAAAGGACAGTCTACTACTTGTCAGAGGAGAAGGATGATGATGATGATGATGACACGATTCACTTACGAAATGTTGATCGATAAATTCATTATTCAATTTCTTATTCGTTTCTTCACCAGAAGCAGCGATCATATCTTGTTCAAGCCAGAACTTAGCGAAGGTTATCAGAGTGTATGCATATCTAATGCATAATGAGTAATCCTCTGATACCGCATACTACTACTAGGGTAGTAATGCTACTTACAGGCTCCCACTAGCAACCATAACATCAGACCACAGGATGATGTTATGACAGGAAGGCACACGAGGATCAGCAGCAGCACCAGCACCAGCACTAGCAGCTACATCAAGTATACTCCCCCGATGATGATGAGGGTATGATGATGATGATGACATTGGACAGGAAGATGATGGGGCTAGTGGTCCCTCCTGGAGTAATGATGAGGAATAATACAAGAGGATGATGGTGAATACCTCTGGTATTGAATCTGTCGATGATGCTGCTGATAATGATAATGATCCTTTTATGATTGGGAGATTATTCATCTTAGAATAGCGTAGAATGTCGTCGTCGTCGTCGTTATGCTGATGATGATCGTCATGATCAATAACATTCCTCCTCTTGTATCGATATGCTCCATCAGAATACCCAGCAGATAGTGATTTATGTAGAGACATCCCCCCCTCAGGAGCAGCAGTAGTAGTAGGCAGATCCATAGCTAAACATGATAGAGAATAGGTCTCAGGTGAGATGATCGTGATAAAACGACTATTATTATAATGATGGTGATGACGTCCTACATGATGGTGCAGCTATCCTCCTATTCCTCATCATCCCATCAATACGTTTACTATCCTTATACAAAGTATTGCTATGATTATAGTTGGTATTACCTGGATGATATTACTACTACCATCATTAATCCATCATTCACATCATCATCATCATCATTCAATACTACTACTACTACCTGCTACTACTGGGTGATGATCTACATCCAACATATCACTGCCTCTCGAGGGTAATGGGTGAATTATGATACCATGAGTATCATCATCATTATCATCATCGTCAGCTAGGACTTCATATCTAATGAATGATGATAATGATATCTAATGTGGAGGAGCAGGCTGCTGCTGCTGTAGTAGTAGCTATTGTACACACCCATAAGCATCTCGATCCCGACCTCTTCTAACACGTATAAACCTAGAGAATAATGTCGATACCGAGATTCGAACCCGAGTCCCTTAGTGACTTCCTCTCGATATCCTTGGGAAATCCTGGAGTAACCTTCGTAGCACTACTTTGTAACCACCAACTTATTACAGCACTGACAGTCAACAACAAGAACAACATGAAATACTCAAAACCATGGTGGTGGTAGTAGTAGTGCTAGTGATGATGATGATAATGATTATACGATCGGCCGCCTTATGATTCTTACTCAAAATCTAAATTACGTTTACGGTACCACTCCTCTCCTACTCCATGGAATAGTTCTGAAACCTGAGTAACCACCCTAGATATTATCTTCTTCTTTTGTAGCTATACTTATCTAATACTCACCCTTTGATTAGTATTCACCTGTCTACATATATCTCTAACCCATTTAGCAGCGTTAACAGCGAATAATCCGAATAATTCTGCTGGCTGCACTGATACATTACGTATTATCTAATGAGTATCGTGGTGATAGTGATGATAGCGACGACGATAGTCTACTGGTAGATAGTCTACTGAATGATAATAATAACAATACTACCTTTAAGACAACTCCTGCTGCCTCATTCTCCTCTACAGCAAGGTATATCATCAATAATAGAGCAAACATACAGGAACCAGGTCTATTGAGGTCTCTACCCAACGATCTGAATATATACTCAAGCACTTCACGTTTGGAGAAGAAGAAGAAGACGTCGTACTCAAAGTCTCGCTCCGAGAATCCTAATGCTTGCCAATCCTCATTAGTATTATCATCAGAAGAAGGATAACATTGATCTGATAGAAGACTGATATTCATCACAGATAGACTTATTACTACAATTACCATCTATCGATGATGATGATGAGGAGGATGATGAGGAGGAGGGAGGTATTCTAGGCTTCGAGAGTGCAACAGCACGTTTAGTGCCCCGTAATAATAAAGTAGGCTGTTGATTTATTATATCGGCAGATGTAGAAAAATTATGGTATTCAGTATGCAGAAGTACAACAACAAAGAAGCGAGCAAGCCGAGCATCAGAGTAGATGTTGGGGTCGAACTCTGTTACCAATGATAATGCACTGAGAGGATAGAATAACATCATCAACAACGACGACGACCAATACTAATACAACAAGTCTATTCTAGTAGTCTATTATTATTACTACCGTAATATCTTCCGAATCCTCCTCGTATGAGTATCGGGTTTCCGTAGACATCTAACCTATAGCAATAATAATATACAAGGACCCATACTCGATAACAATAATAATACACTTGCCGAATTACCTGTTTCCGCCGCCGCCGCCGACGCCGACGATGACGTCTATGACCACCACTAGCTTTAGTAACCCATGCTAGACATTGTCGCCATCCTATGGATACTGGAAGAACTACTCTCACTACTATTATTATGATACTACCTCCTTTGTGTTGTTGTTCATTAGTAGTAAGACTCTGGCCATTAGAATCTGCTGCCTCATCTGGTGACTCATCCGAACTACTGCTACTGCTACAAGTAACATAATCCATATACTGAATAATGAACTAAGTAGGAATCGATGATCCAGAGATCTATTACCGAGTCCCATTCTGAAGTAGGTATGTCCGCACTACTGCTGCTATTAGATACTACTTCCTCTCCCTGTTCCACCTCCACATTATTAGATCTTGGTCGATTCCTCGTTACTAATGTTGGTTCATCAACATCAACATCATCATCACAGCCGCCAATAGTAAGACCAAGAGTTGGTGAATAGGACGTATTGGGATGTACTGCTAGTATGATAAATACTATTATTATTAATGGATACTACCACATGATGAAGTATTGGGAATCCTAGATGGTAGTAAACTATAGAAGGATCTTGATGAACGCTGATGGTTATTATTATTATTGTCCCATGCTTGAGAATTATCCGGAGATGATGAAGTAGATGATACCCGATCTAGAAAGTAATATAAGGATATCATTATGATACCACTCCATCACCAATAATACTACTTAGCCGACGGGTGGCTAGGAAATTATCCCATCCTCTAATGGCATCAGTGACGAATGATGATGACGATGATGCTTGTTGTTGTTGTTGTTGTTGTTGGACTTCCGCCTTTAATGATACAGTAGGTATACTGTATCTGCTACTACTACCTAGTGTAGCATTAACAGATGATGGGGGAGCATTCGATGTAGTACTAATAATCTCATCAAACCCATCAAACAGACCTACACATCATTATTACTACTTAGTATTGACTACATTCACTACCATTAGGGAACTCCTGTGGATAATACCGACCACCATTCTCCTCCTGCTGCTGCTGCTGCTGCTGATTATGACGATTATGGCAACCATTAACAGTATGCTGCTCCTGTTGGGGTTGAATATTCCTCTTGCGTATTTTACAAGGAAGTGGCCGTTGTCGTTGTTGTGTTAGACCTCTATTGGACCTACTTCGTATCTTTAATAATAACCTAGATATTATCCCTACTAAAATACCTATCCGTTTCCTGGATCCCATTCCATCCTAGCTGTTCATCACTATTACCATTCTGCTGCTGTTCATAGTGTGAATGTGAGCCTGCTGCTGTTGCTGTTGCTGATGCTGATGCTCTGTTGTTAGGCCGCCTCATTAGAGATGCCCAACCGGAGGTTTATCATAATAATAATGCCTAAAGTGATCTGGTGATTAGGAAACCGCAAGATTAGCAAGATTGTCAGTCAATACTGTCCCCTGAATATCTTATATAATCCTTATTATCGCCACTATTAGTAGTTGATGATAGTGTTCACCAAAGCAGCTTATTCAAGTATCGAACGAACGATGATGATGATTGTTATTATTATCTAAGACGAATTTCGACATTAACAAACATCTGAAGATGTGGCATCCCCAAGAGTGGACGACGACGACGGTACCGCAATGATCTCTAGGGTATTACGTAATCTAAACCTATACAGTAGTAGTTGCCCATTAGCAGCACTAATGAGTAGCCAAGTAATAGTATATGTGAAGGATATGAACGTCTACAAGTATCTATAACGTGATCTTGTTAATCATTCTGATCAAGGTGATGATGATGATCGTGATGGACTCGACATTTAAAAGCGACGATATTTGATGATGATGAGAGTAGTTTCTCTTAAGTAACCTCATTGTGAAGAGCATAATTATTGTAATAGCAGCTCTAAGGATGGTTACCAACAACACGAGCCTTTCATCATCATGAAGATGTTAACACATAACCATTTCATGGACATCCTGTCTTCATCACATCTTCACCATTTTCCTCCACTTCACGGTTCATGAAGTCCAGTTTGGTACTACTTGAACTCCCAGCCTTAGCTCTCCAAGCGGTGATGATATCAAAGCCACTACGTAAGGCACTGTAGCACTTCCGGGCGGCGGCGGCGGCAGGACCCTGCCTGGCATGCTCCTCCTTATCTATCTTCAGACATATCTCTGCTACTACAGAGGCAGTGGTAGCATATCTATGAGGGAAGGCACAGAGTAATTGAACCAACTTAACCAACATGATCATATTAGACTCTTGATGACTAGTCTTCTCCGACTTGACGACCCTCAGTGTGCCCCCCTCAGTATGCTGTCCCTTAATATAAGGTCCCCAATGGTGGACCCAGAGCGACATCACTGCATCTAATACCAACTGTTCATGACATTCTATTAAGGCATCTCCACACTCTCCTTCTAGAAGTCGTGCCAAGGCATTGATGACCTCAGGTAACTTATTAGGGTGTGTAGTGACAGTATGTATAAGGCTTAGAATACGAACACGTCTGTATTGAACTACTGCACTATCAATATCTATATTAGCAGTAAGATAGATATGCTTATACAAGGGTGAGTCTGCAGCAGTATGAGTACTCATCATACTCCCCAAATGAGCTCTCATTATGCTAGTACTCATCATCTGAGATGACCTGGACAAAAGGCTAATGAATGATACAGTTCGAGTGCAGCAGCAACAACAGCAGCAGCAGCAACAGCCTCGTTACTACAGATAATTAGATGGCTTCTGAGGAGCAGGCGGTGGTCGTCGAGCGAGGGAAGGATGTGAATTGGTCGTCGTCGTAGTCGTAGTCGTCGTCAAGAAATGGGTAAGGTTTAAGATAGGGCTGGTGATGAGATCAATATCATCTAGAGCATGTAGTCTAGGTCCATCTACTGTACTAGGAGGCTCCTCAAACGTAGAGTATACGAGGAAAGGTAGGAGGAGATCATCATCATCATCACCACTCTGAGATGGGCATGGAATATTGACGATCGATAGAGTTAGGCAGTCGGCCTTACACCTACATCAATGGGAAGGGGTAAGCACTTCATACGGAGGGGTGTTGGTGTAGAAAGCGGATGTTCTCTGTGGAGACAAGTACCTTTGAGATCGATAATAGCTGATGGTTCTCTAGGGCTAAGAGGTTGTAATGCTGCCTTTGTTGTAGGCTACCCTCGAATCTCACCATCATCCTGGAGGTAGATGATGTCCTTAGACTCTTTTAGTATACCTTCTTCATCCACTGGTATATCTCGACTAAACACTAGCCCTACGTTGCATATGCGGATGATCAATGATGAATCACCATCACCACCACTACCACCTGCTACTGCTACTACTAGGATTGAATAAGTCCTGCCATTACTCACTTGTATGGTGATGGTGGACTACCCTATTATCCCAGAGGTCTAGGTATTTCCCAATCAAGTACACACCAACAGATTGGTGTTCTGCCTTTGACGGTATCATATCGACGACATCATCCTTAGTTGATGTCGAGAGAGGCTCGAAGGCCTGTGAAGGGTTCTGATGAGGCATGAACTATCACCATCCTACTCACCGATCCGATAGGTGCTGCTCCTGCTCTAATAGAGTCTACCTTGTATTTGGCAGATAACCTGAATAGTTATCAGATATACCAAGGTAGTAGTAGTAGTAGTAGTAGTAGTAGTAGCATACCACCTGTTGAGGTCTTCAGTAAGGAGTACCCATCCTGATGGAGGGATCGGTAGCTCGATGGCCTCTCCTCCTCTTCCTCTTCCTCGAACCACTAACGTGTCTATAGCTACTAGTGGAGGGTGAATAAGATGACGGTACTGGTAGTAAAGGGTTATCAATAGTGCTAGTAGCAGCTGCTATATGGAATACTTTAAGTCTTTGATTGAAGCCTTCCACCAGTTGAAGGAACTCGGACTGGCAGCAGCCCAGTAATCGAAAACTGAGCTCTACGAGAGTGGCGTGATTACCAATGGATACAGCAGCATTAGCAGCTTCCTAAATGTATCAAAGAATAGCATCATGATGAAGAGGGGAAAGACATCATGGTCGTTCTTGTCGTTGGCTGCCTCCTTACAACACTCCTTCTTTGATCATTAATAGAGTCCTCTAGGTTCACATCATTAGGTTGCATATCCTCTACTACTTCCTCATTAGATGTATCCTTGTCCCCTTCAACCACCTACACCACAGCCTCTAAGTGAGTACAGATGATGATGCTGCTGCTGCTCGTGACCACCACCCTAATGATGTGCCTTTCATATTGCCTACATGCTTCAGCTATCACTTCTAGATGAGGTCTAGCATAATCCAATACCTTCAAGATTATGTATGATAATCGTCGGTTATTGTTAGCGGCGGCGGCGGCGGTGGCCATCACCCACCTGCCTGAATAACTCTATTCGTAGCTTCTGCAATAGTGAATGCTGTAGCTCTCCTCCTTCTGCCTCATCCTGCTCTTGGTTATCAGTGGCATGATGATGATGATGATCTAATAGCATGAGGACAACACTCGACATATGCTGGTAAGAAGAGATGTACCCTCTTCTTCTTCCTCCTTCTCCCTCTCATTGGCGTTCAGTAATGATGTTGGAACTCGTAGTACTTCCAGTAGTAAATCGATTATAGAGATCTACCAATGGGACAGCAGTATGATGAAGAAGAAGCCGAGCATCACCCAGCACATACAGCAGAGGTATCCTCGTGGTCGTCAATACCACACAGTCCTTGAATGATCCTATCAGAGTTGATGATACTACCACTCTCAAGACTTGCAGTCCAGAACTCATATCTACCACACTCTATGTCCCCATACCTCAAGTAGGACTAGGAGCACCACCTACTTTACACGTAAAGCCTTCAATAAGAGTAATGCATCATGTACGAGTCGATCCTCTGCTATAGGATAATGATGATGAGGAGGAGGAGGAGGAGCCATAGCCTGTAGTTCCTCGAGTTGGGCTAATATGAAACATTATCAACATCATCAACATACTCACCCCTACTCAGGCTTTTGATTCCCTCATTGGCTACTTTAAGAGCATTCTGGTAGGTGGTAAGGGATGGCAGTCCTCCGTCTTGATCCTGATGGGCAGGCGGCGGCGACGCCTCAACACAAGCACATAGGAGGCTGTACAATTGTACCAACCAGATGATATATCTATAGTAGCTATTAGAGGACATAGTAATGGATATTAATATCACTTAGCATCTCTTAAAGGGATACATGCTTCCACGGCACGTATAACATAGGTTAGATGTTGAACCGAGATATGGGGTATAGAGTGTTGGTAGGTGAAAGTAGCAATACGGCATACGATGGCTGAGGCTGCCAATACTCCAAGATGACAATGGAGGCTAGGGCTCGATACTCCCGATACTCTGAAGAGTAGTACTACACTCATTGGCTGCTGAGTACTACTACTATTACCGTTGAAAGATGAACTCAATGACCATAGAAGCCTCGGTCATTATTCTGTTACATTCGCTTGACAAGCGACTCCTTGTAGTAAGGATGATGATCGCTTCTTCACGAGTTAATTCTTCCCACTCTATAGTTATCCTTTGTATCTCCTTATCCTGAATAAAATACTCGAATAGCAACTAGTAGATGTCATCACGATTATGTCAGCTGTTGTTGTTGCTGTTGCCCTTGTCGGTAGTTGTTCTCCACCATTTGGGCTACTACTGCTGCAGAGTGACTGCTGATGAGCCCTCTTCCTTCGTACAGCTTCCTCCAACAACAATAGTTCAGCAGCCTCTTCCTGACCTTCGTGATGATCCGCTTTCTTACTTGCTGATGGCATGATCAGTAATCTCTCTATCTACCTCGAGGAGTGTTGTATTGACATAAACTTAAACTTAAACTCAGTGTATTGAACAACATCGATTATCATCACCCAAATTGGGTATGTATATATGTTAATAAGGTAGTAGTAGGAATACCTCTAGTAAGGGCTCTATCAGGAGTTTGAGCTACACCAGGGGCAGTCTCCATCCTCAACTCTTCTTGTAGTCTAGCTACACTTTCATCCACCTCTCGGACAGCACGAAGTATCTTCATCATAAGCCTACATTCAGCCATACTACCAAGTGCTACTACTCTTACATCAGGATTCTTAGAGGCTGCTTCCACACGCTCATCTGACTCTCTCTTTATCGACTTATAATACCCTAGTGTCTGATGAAGGGTAGTAGTAGTAGTATAGAGGGAGGGGGGAGTACTCACAGAGATGGGATAACCTTGGTCAATGGTTGATAGTTCCACAGGCAAGAGGGTCTTAAGAGTATGAAGTGATGGTAGACGGAAAGGTTGAGGATCCCATAGGGCAGCTTCTATTGCCTTTCTTGCTTCCCACATAGACTAATAATACACTCTTTAGTAAGAATGAATAAGATGATGATAATACTCTTGGTTCATCGATATGATGGGCAAACATTTTCCGTCTGTATACGGCCTTAAGGACACCTCGTTGTTGCTGCTGCTGGTGGTGGTGGTGCTGCCGTTCACATCCCTCCTTCACAGTGGTGTACCCCTGGCGACTAGTTTCAGCCTAAAACCCCAAAATAGATACGAGGAGCTATGTCCTCTACATACTGATGATAGTGTTACCAGGTGAGGAGTGGACTTGAGGTGTGAAGGGGTTAGAATGATTGCTCTTCTATTCCCCTTCTTATGGCGATAACGAATACCTGTAGTAGTAGTAGCAGAGACAAGAGGGAATATAAGAATCCCATCGTCAACCACCACGTTGATTAGATGATAATGCTTACGGTCATGTCCTAGCTCACTAGCTACTCGAGTCTTGGCTGCTGCTGCTGCTGTTTCCTCATCAACAGCCTGAGGAGCCATTATGAAGAGTTCGTGCAGCGGGCCTACTGCCCATGTTTAATTCATGAACAACTATAATGGAACATTTAGCTCATTGCTTGCTGCTGCTGTTGTTGCTGTCCAACACGTAGTGGGTCCAGAGTAGAGAGTTGACTCGATGATAATCGAAAACATGTTGATAAGAGCCTACTACCAACGATTGTTCCTCCAAAGCGAATTGAATCTCCTCTCCAGTCGCCGTGACACCTGATATAAGCAGTAGTAGTAGTAGTATGATAGGGGCTTCCGAGGCCATGGATGGTTGGATCCCACTCTTATCTAGTCCTTTCCAACCCGAACTTGGATGATGATGATCCTCAAACATCACAGAGGATGAGTACTGTAATAATAATAAGCAACCTCCACAAGTAACGCATCATCCATATTCAACTTAACGACTTCTTCACATGAATGTGATTAATGATGATTGTCTTGGTGTCGTTGGCATCGAGCTTTCATAAGGCTGGATGCTAATTGTCTACGGAGATCAGAATAGCCCGTCATGATCATACCATCATGATGATCATGGTTAGAGGTCTAAGATCGAGAAGGATGGTATGATCATCAATGCATACTACCTCTGAGGTGTCCTGTCCTTCAAGTGGAGGTTGCTGCTGGTGCTGGTGCTGCTGCCTTGGGTAGTCGACAGCATTGGATGGTGGTGGCGGTGGCTCCTCTAGATCACCCCTACCATCAGTGTATACCATCGGTTAGTTATCTTTCCTTCCTAGATACCTCTGTTCTACTTCATCATCCCTTTGTTGTTGAGGCGGCCTTGCTGCTCTAAGCAACTCTCGTTGTCGTCGAAGATGCTCTGCTCGAGCTAAAGCCCACCATGAGGGATAAGTATAGCCATACTCAGCAGTCAAGTCCTTACCTTCAATATCCTCCTTTGTTGGTCTATGATCGTTCCCTAATACATTAGTGGTCACCACTTGAGAAGAGGAGGTCACCACAGCATGCTCAACAGTAATAGGTATCGAGATCGCCTCCCCTCTACCTTCACGAAGAGGAGCATCGATAACATGATATCGTCAAGCGGTTAAATAAGGCTCCTCACCCTCTTTCGACACTCTGGGAAGGTCGTTAACCTCGGTGGTGGTAGTGGTGGGTAGTCGGTGCTGCCGCACTTTGAGTGGTGGTAATGGTGACTTGTCCACACCATCATTGGTATTCCCTCTATCTAATAGACTTAGTTCTATGGCTCGTTGAACATCCTCATCATCTTCTGATGTATCAAACGGTACTAAAGATGAGGAAACCTTTGAAGTAAGGTCAGTGTTGTTGTTGTCAGGATTGGCTTCTAATGTTACTAGAAGGCAGCAGCCGTCGTGGTGAGTCTAACGACTGATTGTATCCCTCACGGTGTCGTACTCACTTTCCCCCTCGCCTGCAAATCGAAGGCTCTCCTTCAAGGCGGCTTGTAGGAGTTGCTCATCATCATCATCCTCGTTGTCGTCGTCCTGGTTACTGTTGCCATCATTATGACTACAATAACAGTCGAGTAATCCACATATACAATGATCCCTAACGAACCATTGCTCATGCTATTGGGTTGTATAACCGTAATTCTACACAGATTGTACCTCACCATGAGGTGATGACTGATACCAAGTTATTATTAATGCACACACACTATGAATGCCCTAATACAGGAGCTCACCTCGATGAAGGATCCATCTGATCAAGGGCATCATTCGTTTGTAACCCATGGTAGCTTTCTAACATAGCTATATGAATGGATAAGAGCATCATAACATACTACCTGAACCCCCTCGTTCAAGTTCTTGTCGTCGATTCAACATGAGATCCTTAAAATAGAGAAAGTCTTCAGTAGCCATCAACCTAGAACATATCCCATACACTATATAGTAGCATACTCTTGATGACGGCAATACTCCAAGTATAGTAATACTGTTATAGTGCGGTATGCTGATCGTTATGTGATATTATCTACTATTAGGTTGGGGTTATCATTGGACTATACATATGTTATTCCTTCTTTATATGTTAGAGTGTATCATCACAATAGGTAGGATATTCCATCTTAAGTGTTTATACGATATCAACTAAGTAGCTGACCACCTTCGTAAGACTATTCCACAGTCACCGCCATCATCAACTTCATCTAGGAATACTTGAGCAAAGAGGTCTCTATTAATATCTACACATTGACTTGATACAGTATTGAATAGTAATAAATGATTAACTAAGTTCATTAAGATGAGTATCCAATAACCCATCCACAAGGTCTCGAAATTTATTATGTATATCAGTATACTCTAACTTGTTCTCAGATGTATTATTGTCAAACATCATACAATGGTCATCAATAAACCGGTTTAGAGGTACCTAAATAGTGTATATATAGTATCAGTCTCCTACCCCTCTTACTGTCCATGATTGGCTCTGCATACTTTGGATAATATAATCCCGTAACCAATCGATAGCTTCAACTGATGATAGGTCGTCAGACATTTAAGTTGATGATACCAACCTACTCGACTCCGGGGCGGCAGCAGTACCAGTACCAGCAGCAGAGTTTCTCGTTTATCGCTCGCCCGATAATCCAAAATTCCGTCGCCGCCGCCGTTTGATTTCAAGTAGGACTTGTTATGCCCCTGCTTGGAATCGAACCTGCGGCCATTCGATGGAAGGCGAGTGCATTCTAATGTAAGTTATTTATTAATGGTTACCAACGCCATCACGTTATATGGGAGTGTAGTGATTGATAAGGCAAGTAAGGATCTTGAGATAGCTACACCACTAGATCCATTTGGGTCGATGAATGAGTCATCATGGAGGAGAGGGGTAGCATGTCTAATTATGGCATCATTATCATTCTCTGTGATGAGCC